TCGAATTTTCTATACTTACATTTAAAAAAATTTCAAAATTTGCCGCCCCCCATAGATTTGCCGCCATGGGCCGCGGCCCATGTGGTCACCCTCTTAATCCGGCCCTGCATTTATTAGCTTAAAATCGTTACAGCGTCCGTCGTCAGTTTGAAGTTTTTGGGAGTTTCCTGTGGCAAAATGTGTGGGAAAATCCTTTCAGCCAGTGATGGCAATAACTCAAATTTGGACTTCCCTGGCACTGAAATTCCTCTCTGTTACAATGTGCGGGAGGCTTCAAGAGCGCATGCAATGGAATCAAATTTACCTTGTTCGTAGTTGCGGAGCTTGGAGGACAAGGCTCATAAGTGCAGTTTTTACTGTATCGAGAAATGCGTGTTTGAAGTTTCGAAATTACATGGGTCCTTAAGGATTCGGTGCACTCGTGACGTCACAGTACATGATAAACATGGCGTCTTCATCAAGCGGCTATCAGTTCTTTATGGATGTTATTATTCATTATGCTAATAATAAATGGTAGGGAAGTCAAAACCGTTATCATGATTATGAATAAAGCAGCCTCTACTCGCTCTGATTGATAGCCCCATGTTATAATAATACTTAATACAACAATCATAGAAATTTCAAATATGAAATAAAATATTATTAAATTTCACCTGTACAAAGTTAGTATTAGTAAAATTAATAGTATAAACATAGATTTATGATAAATGCTGGTTTGATTAGTCTTATTAAAAATTAAAATAAAGATAATTCAAATTGACAAATTAAAAGTTCAAAATGATAATTCGTCACCTCACATCTGATCTTACTTACGTTTCGTTTTTGCAAATTTAAATTAAATAGCAGGACAATCAGTGAGTAACTAAATATTAATCTTTTTGTGGTTTTTATTATAATTATTATTATAATAGGCATTAAAAATTATAATAAAAACCACAAAACGATGAAGAGATCAGATTTGTCACTTACTGCGACGTCACGAATGCACCGGATCCACTCCCGCGTAAATGTGACCGTTTTGAAAAGTTGAATTTCCGGGCGTGTTCAGGTGATTTTTTGGGGGTTTCCGTTGCTCAAAAAACTTCGTGAAACTTTCTGCGACATCAGGGTCCTTAGTTCTTTTGATACGAGCGATGAAAAAAAAAGTGAAACAGGCTCATTGCGTGGTTCAGATCACTGTTGTTCATATTGCAGCTTCACCGAAAAAAAAGTGGAGTTGATTTAACATTCTGGATGTAAAAGTGTGCGAAAACTTATAAAACGCTGAATTAACGGCCACAGCATAATCTTACATCTTGCCATTGCTAAAGCAACTGCTGTAGCCGGTAATTTGGCATGTTATGAGTTCTTGCACACTTTTTTACAAAATGTTAAAAAATCAACCTCACTTTATTCAAGTGTTTTTACAGAAATTTTCTAATGTGACCAACATGATTTTTAATTGATTTTATAGATGAAAAGTCGACTCCTACGGTTGTATCTCTCGTATAAAACTGACCCATTGACCGCTTCAAGAGGTTCGATTAATTTGAGAGTTCTTGTTATGAAACGAGAGTTGCGTACGAGTAGCGCGGTCGGTATGAACGAAGTGCACACCGTACAAACGACGGAAATTTTTTTCTTAGTGGGCGCCATGTCTCTGAATGAAATGACCAGACGTAATGCGCCTACATCACACGCGCAGGCTGGGCACGATTTGAAAATATCGGAGGCATCTAATCACAGCGCGCGCGGCCAGGAATTCGATTATAATTTGGCCATGCGAGGAGAGCGCACATATGCCCAACGTAATCACAAAGCTGTGCAAGCTCTATAGCGTTAAACACGCTCCGACGAAGGCTGATTTGCGCTGCGCGCATAACTATCGGCTCTTGTTGCCAAGCGGTCGCTCCTAGGAAAATCCAGTCGCAGCATCTGATGAAGTCCCGACATTTGTTGGGGATTTTCGACTTGGCAACCTTGTTCGCGATTCGTGAAAAAGGAACCGACATTTTTAAAGGCTTACTTCAGAAACAACATATGTGTTCGTGACTTTCCTTTGTAGATAGGTGCTTTGATAGATTGGCCAGAAACTAGTGTTCCTTTTTGCGTAATGGAATGCATCTATTCTTCTGCCCTCACGCGAAACACGATGGGGTCATCGGTTTTTCTTCTGAAATTAAATGCTGAGGAAAAACGCCGTATGAAGTATGAAAATTTAGAAGTTGCAAAATTCTCTTTCATGAAATATTTATTTTTGAAAAAAAAAAAAAAAATTATGACCTTTTTTCGTTGAAATTTTCATAGATGCAATGTTGATTGGAGAATAAAATTCTGTGAAAAATTCAAAGCAAATTGCTTAAAAATTTTCCAGAAAATTTGTCTTTTTGCCGAAAAAAACATAAATGCAAAAAAATTGCAACGTCTGAATGTTCATTAATGACGAGAACGAGGCAGGGGAACGGAGGAGGATACGAAGAAAAAGGAATTCCTCGTTTTCCTCATTTTCTTCTTAATCTTCCAATTTCTCCACCGCTTCTTTTTCCGCTTCTTCTTTTCTCTTATCTTTCTTCTTCTTTTTTCTATTCCTTTTCTCATCCTTCTTCCTTCCCCTTTTCATATTCTTATTCTTCGTCTTCGTCTTCCTCCTCTTCTCAATCCATCTAATTTTCTTCTTTTTCTCCTCTTAATTATCCTCTGCATTTTCTCCTCTTTCTTCTTCCTCTTCTCCTAATCGATCCTCTCCTTCATCTTGCTTCTGTTTCTCGTTTCTCCCCATTTCTCTTTTTCCGCAGCATTTCTAAAGCGCCCTCGTGACGCAAGCAGCAGTGGTTGCGATAAGTTACGATTTGATTAGAAAATGTATTGCAACGGTATCGAAGGCGATTTATCGCAGTATTGAAGAAAAAAGCGTGATAAAGTGAAATAAACTGTTTATTCTACCAAACGCGATTTTGTAGAGATAAACTAGAAACAATACCGAGGATACTCGCTCCTAGATATTGATGATCCAAGCGATTTTATCTCCAAAAATCATAAATAATCGCTGCTTAATTTAAAAATATCGCCATTTTCCGTTGAAAATGTTCCTTGGAGAGCGACATGATAAGAGTCTAAAGAGTTACTTCATTTCATTAGAGACATTCAGCATCTCAGGCTATTAATGTCTTTACAGAAAATATGAAGGGCGAGTGCAAATACTAAAATTTAGATTCTTCAATTAATGGAAACAAAATATTTCAAAATTTTGGTTGTAACATTGGATCACCGGACGTTCGTGGGTTTGTATCCCTGTTGACTGTCCCGATTCTTTCAAACCAGATTACACGAAGAAAATGAAATTGCTGATTTAACAATTCTGTAGTTATAACAAGTGTCCGACATGTTTCCATGTAAATTTTACAATGAAGCAATGCTAATTAAACCATCACTGTTGTTAAATTGGCTTTTCGCTATTGTAAAATGTACATTTGAAACATGTCAGACATAAATTTGAACAATTTAATTGTTAAATCAACAATCCATTTTTCCCCGTGTGAAATTTATACCTAGAGCATGCACGAGGTACCACACTTACTAACATATCTATATATTGATTTGGCAACAGCATTATTCGCAACAGCTGCTTTTGACGGTGGAATAAGAGACGGGCTTAGCATATAAGTGTTCATTATTCTATGAGAGTTCCGTCGGCCCGGTCAGCGGTCATAATAATTTGTACCGACAGTAGTCATTCATAACAGGTGCTTTTTTATACCGGCAATTTGAGCAAAACCTTCGCTCACTCACATACAGGGATATTCCAGATCAACCTGTAAGAGATCAGGAGTTGTAGCGACTAGGAGCGCATTTATGATACAAGGTTTGTTTCATTCATTTCGCAGAGGAGACATATTTAAAAAAGCCTGGAGAGGCACATTTAATAATGTTCCGAAACTCAGCAACAATGGACCACTAGACACGGTACGAATTTAAGCAATCTAATACATGTTTTTTAACCAAAATTTCACGCAGAACACGATTCACATAACGAAAATTACTGAAACCAACTCTGGACGAAGATATTAACGTTTTTATTTAACATTGGTTACTAGGAATTTGAACTGCTCACTCACAAGAAACTTAAAGCTCTACGTGAGTCAAATCGCGCACTAACGGTTTCAGCAAGCTTCTCAATCGAGCAATGTTCATTAGCCATCATGTGTTTTTCAAACTATTAGCAATTTGCTACAGCTGAGCCAAAGCGTCAAGATTGAGGTTGCCAGATTTTTATATCTTAGAGACTGTCACGATAACGTTTAGCGCGCGATGTGAATCATAGAGCATTAGTTATCATGAGCGGGTGGTTTGAATTCACGCATCAAGAATTATTAAATATTTTCGTAAGGAGTAAATGCGGTAATTTTTGTTGTGCGCATCGTGTTTTACGTGAAATTTTGGTGAAGAAACATGTATCAGAATGCTGAAATTCGTACCTTGTCTGGTGTTCCATTTAAGAAACTACCGCAAGGAAGCAAAAGACGTAGAAAGGATAGTGAAAACACGGAGAAAGCAGAACACCGCTAAAGAGTAAAAAGGAAGATCTCAGTCATCTCGTAGTAATACGCCGATATTACACGCGGAAAAATAGGATAGTCGTCACAACCAGCGGCTGGTTAAAAATGCGCCAGTTATCGTGTGATATGGTTACGATAACTACCGCGGTAGAGGACATAACTAACCCGGTAGTTATCGTAACTACCGCACGGTAGCTGGCGCATTTTCAACCAATCGCTGGTTGTGATGAATAATCCTATTTTTTTCCGTGAAGTGGCACTAAAGACAGACTCCAAGAGAACACAAACAGAGGAGGAGAGACACTTGGAATTAAATCAAAGAAGGAAATGATGGACTCGGCACAAATGAAAGAACACGAAGAAAAGAAGAGAGCAGGGAAAGAAGCAAACGCACTCACAATCCAAGTAACAACAACGGTGAATAATTAAAACGATATTCAAAATAAATTACTGATGAATACTTACGTAGAGGAGGTGTTGAAACTTCCATCAATGGTAACCATTGATTGGGTCTTTTCTAGGTACTCCCCCTTCTCCGTTTTTTCGTTACCCATTGTCAAAGTCTTTTACATCCAATCGCACAAACTGAAACAGAAAAAAATATCATGGAATATACTAGACAAATATTATCGACGATTCGCAATTTTACGGATCATACTCGTATAGAAACTGAAATCATCCTAACACAAAATAATACGTACCCAATGATACGTACCAGGTAGTCCAGGTACCAACCCTTCTGCATACCGACGCGAGATACGACTTTTCTGCGTTAAGCCCTTGATTTGTGTGTTTATTTAAGTTCTTATTAACAACAGCTTCTCGTGAGTTTTTAGTTGAAACATGTTCACCATGCTCTTTTCTTCATGGCAGTGCCACTATTTTTTAAACAATATTTTTGGAGAAACGCACTTTTTCCAACATTCGTCACCAAAGTTTTGAAAAATAATTAAGAGAAACATGTCAAAAAGTATGGTGGCTTTCACACTGCATTCATCCAGGTGACAGGACTATTCAACATTCAGCCATGGATTTTCGGCCTTAGGGACTGATCGCCCTTACGTTTTCACCCAAGACTTTTTAACTCACGGATGCTCACCCACAACCCTTTCAACCTATACGCGGTTTTTTTTTACCCACAAGAGTTTTCATAAAAATGCAAAAGTTAGAATTGAGTACCGCTCTCCCGGTCGAGCTTCAATAACTGGAAACTGGAATAGAAATAAAGTTTGCCGAGGTTCGGATCACACATCTGAAACTTCAGATGTGAGAACCGAAGTTTTTCAGATGTGAGAACCGAAGTTTTTCAGATGTGAGAACCGAAGTTTTTCAGATGTGAGAACCGAAGTTTTTCAGATGTGAGAACCGAAGTTTTTCAGATGTGAGAATCGAAGTTTTTCAGATGTGAGAACCGACGTTTTTCAGATGTGAAAACTGAAATACTTCAGATGTAAGAACTGAAGTTTCAGATGTGTGATCCAAACCTCAGCAGCTGGACCTAAAGTGTTCAGATGCTCAATCCGAAAACTTCAGAGATCCATATGACCTAAACTTCGGGTCCCACGCATGAAGTTTTTTTCTCCGTGTATGACTTCCTTGTCCATCGCTTTGTCTATCAATTTCAATAATCAGCCCGCTGGTGAACCCACAGTAATTATTCGCGCATGCCATGTTTTAAAATGATACCGAAGCATTTAATCGATTTTAATCGGTCCTGATCGACATCGAGCATTGAATTATTCATTTCAATTTACGCCTCTCTCGAGTATTGGAATAACTCGCGGGCTGTAACAGTTCTTCGAAAGGCAGACATGCCTCCGCACGGCACGAGTTCATGACAGGTGAAATATTTCAACTACAGATTAAAAGAGGTATTAGCCTGAGTGTCGGCTGCCACTCACGCCGAGGAGACATAATTCTCTGGCATGAAAGTAAAAAAAAAAATGATTATCTCAGGCGTGAACCCACTTCATGCATTTCGGTTGTCTCCTGCTACATGTGAGTACTTCAACACTCGAAAGCCCGTTGGAAAAGATTAAGATTTGCATTTCCATCGGTGCCCCTTATCCTCGCAGGAAAGCCTAATAGTAATAGTTTTGCTTTATTTTTGGTCTCGACTGAAAACAGCTGTACCTAATTCTGCCATGTAACGCAAAAACGCTGTAAAGGCCATTTTACATTTTTTGGAAAAAATGTATCATAGCAGAAAAACGCGTGTACTTGGGACAATGTTTTTACAGAATTATTATGCAAATAATGTGAAGAACTTAACCTGAAAATTTGAGGTGCGTGGGTAAAATAGTTTTTATTTTATGAAGTTCCAAAAAACGAGGGAAAATATTGAAAATATCGCAATCGATTATAGCTTTTCTCCCATTTGAAGCTATCGTAGAGAATCGATTATTAAGATTTTCGTTGTGAACACCCTGTTTATCGATCCTTTCCCATAGGTTTAAATGGCAGATCAATCGATGCATCGCAAAGCACTGGCCCTAATGAGCACTTGTACTGTACCAAATTTTGTCTACTGAAATTTACACTAAGGAACTTATGAATTTTTACCTTAAAATTTCGGAGAAATTTCTCCGCAATTTAGTCTACTGCAAAGGCGTTTTCTGACTGGAAAAGAGGAGGCAGAAGTGGCATTAAACGAGAATGAAGTCCGCGCATATTTCTATTTCGCCTTCAGTTTTTGAGGTAGGTCAGAAAGCATATTCGTGCAGCAATAGTTGCCTATGCGAGAATTTTCCTCACGTGCTCTGAACAGATCTTGCCTCGTGGTAAAATTGTATCATTTCCTAATAAGTTCTCTGTTTTTCTATGCATCCATTTTTAATCAATGATAAGTATAGAATAATTTAAGTTTTAATTCATTCCCTAATTACATTGGAGAAGCAGAGCTTCCTTAGCGTGCATGTAGAAAACGCCAGTGGTTCAATGCACCTGAAATATTCAGGGGAAACTATTTTGCAGATCGATAAAACAGAGAGTTGGTGTGAATCGGCGCATGGACCACTATCTGAAGTACCTTAGGCTTAGCATAAGTCAATAAGAAGAATTACCCAAGTTCCTATTCTATAAGATCGAGGGAATACTTGGAGTGCCAATAAAATGGATACGATGCGTCTACTTAGGAAACAGAGAAACAATAGCACAATCTTAGCAGCCTTGCATTAGACAAGTGTAGGTACTCTCCTTCCACTCAATTCTTCGATTGCAAATATCTGCGTCATAAACCCTCAAGTGGTTGAACCGTGGCTCTTACATGAGTTATGGGTGTGCAAATACATGAACTACGATGTGCGACATTGCAAATACCCTCTTAAATTTAAAGGAGTATGTGAACATGATACCCATTGATGAAAGCTTCCAAAGTACATTGAATGCTAGGTAAACTTAAAGAACAGTGACGGCTTAAAAATTAATTTTGGAACGTGTTCAATACTCGCTATATTTTGAAATTAAATTGCGATTTTTTTCCAATTTTTTGGAGATAAAATCGCTAGGACCATCAACATCTGAGCCATTTTCCTCGATCTTGTCGCGAATTTATCTATGTAAAATCGCGTTCGATACAGTCGGAATTTTTATCCCAATCTATGACAATTTTATGTTCGACAATATTGCGATAAACCGCCGTCGATAAAGTTGCGGTTTTATAGAACATTTATGCGATGAAATCGCAATTTATCGCGATTTTTTATACGATAATATTGTGTTATAAATCGACGGCGACGAAATCGTAATTCATTCTCCGATCAAATCGCAACTTATGGCGATCACCGCTACTTGGGAGGTAGTGTTTTACACTAGGTTACCTCCTATGATGTGTTATTTCTACTGCGCTTCGAGAATTTCCTCAAGAGCCTAATGCTGTTATAATGTTCCATTCCAACAAATAAAAATGGGTTGTGAGTGGGGTATGTATGTAAAAATAATTACAAGAAGAGGTAGCAGTCAGTCATTTTGGCTCCAATTCTTGAAAACCCCGCCAGTGTAGTACCCATGAGTGTAGACAGAAAGGGGGTCCGTGGGGCTACCCCTAGACAATTTTCGAAGTGTTAAAGCATCAAACATGCTGTTCGAGTGAATTTCGTCCTGAAAAATTACCGTACACAAGTGTCCTTCCTTTTTCTTTCCTCCGTTCCTTTCTTATCTCTTATCCCCCCTTTCCCTCCTTTTTTCAGGTGTGCGGGAAGTGGGGGAGGCCTTGGATCCGCTTATGGGTCGTATTCGATAGTGGTTCGATATATCGTTTGGTTCAAAACAATAGAATATAACCTCTAACCGAAATTGCAGGTTGAAAGCTGAAAATGAGAAATTTCCACACAATTTTACTACTCTTGGCCAACAAGTACTCATACGTATCAAAAATCTATCACAAAAAAACCGTTCCGTCAAATTACTCAATTGACTTTTGAGGCTATGTTTATGTTTTGAACCAATCGATATCGGACGACTTTTGAGGATATGTTTATGTTTTGAACCAATCGATATCGATACAATCTCACCCGCTTGATGTATCGAACACGGTCTATGCCCATGAGGCCTAAAAATTGGAGCCAGTTAGAAATGGATTTCACATGGCGGTACTCCGGGTATGAAGGGACTCCACAATTTCTTTTTTGAATAGTTGTCATTCTATGGTCCTGTCCGGTGAGGCGCGACTGATGTAGAGGTCTCAGGTTCGACTTGATCGAGGCGCCTAACGCAAGCACCGTTAGCCGCAAGCGAGAGTTCGAGTTCGAGTGCGGGTGATGAAGCGATTGCGCGGGCAAGGTCACCCAGACGCCGGCTTCTCATTCCATCGTTGGATTATAGCTATGAACCTCTGAACGCACCGAGAGTATTTCGTTCTCACTCTCACTCTTTCTCATTCTTCACCTTCGGCCTCAGGTTGTATCCGTGGTCATTCTCCTGAGCATGTCCTACCAGCGGGCTGATTACTGAAATCGATAGACAAAGTGATAGACAAAAAAGTCATAGTGAGTATGGAGCTATCCATACGGAAATTGCAAAATTACGGATTGAAATGCGGGTGGTTCCTACGGACTAGGGGAGAAAATGATGGACAAACTATCGGATCTTTCGTGGGTTGCCCGACCTACCTCCTCCGTCCGTTGCAACCACCCGCGCGCTTCCACCAATAGGATACCTCCATTCCTCTTCTGTCTTCATCCATCAACTTCAATAATCGGCCCGCTGGTTGCGGCTAATTTCGCATGGAGGAAAAAACTTCGTGCATGGGACCCGAAGTTGAGGTCATATGGATCTCTGAAGTTTTCTGATCACGCATCCGAAAACTTGAGGTTGAGCTGCCGAAGTTCGGGTCAGACATCGAGGCTTTTCGGTATATACCGGAGTACCTCAGATGTGTGACCCGAACTTCGACAGCTGGACCTCAAGTTTTTAGATACGTGATCCGAAAACTTCAGAGATCCAGATGACCTCAACTTTGGGTCCCACGCACAAAGTTTTTCTCTCCGTGCGGTCATTTTTGAAAGTCAACCATCTCGGATGACTACATGGCTATATAGTTCGCTTCGATTCGTGAAAATAACAACCTTGCCAAAACGGTCTCATGG